ATGGATGTCAAAGGAATGTTTCAAAGGAGATTTGATATATTAGAACAGGGGAAGAGGGGTGGAGAGGAAAAGGTACATTTCTTCCATCCCCATCAAACTCCTCTAGCCATTTTTTCCCATTCCTCCCCTCCATAGAGTCTACTACCTTTCCTGCCACCTCCAGTATGGTATCTCAAGTTGTTAAAGTTGTTTTTAGGGATTTTTAGCACCATGCTGTCCATCCTCCCTCTGTAGTACCTTATAAAATATTCAGTTCACTGGTTTGAGCTGTGTACTAAAGTAAACACAAGGTATCTCAACCCCACTAAAAGCATTAGGAATTTTACAAAGTATACAACAAAGTGTTCTGAAGCTGAATTAACCTAGTACTTCATGTGGTTCAACCCCCTATTCAACTATGGGGAAACCCACATATATTGTTCATCTTTAAAACAGATTTAGGTGAGCAGTACAGTGTCCTGTTATTATAGGTAGTATTCACATCCACTGATATACTGCTCTCCATTTTTTTTTTTAAATTTTTTTTTTTCAACATTTATTTATTTTTGGGACAGAGAGAGACAGAGCATGAATGGGGGAGGGGCAGAGAGAGAGGGAGACACAGAATCGGAAACAGGCTCCAGGCTCTGAGCCATCAGCCCAGAGCCTGACGCGGGGCTCAAACTCACAGACCGCGAGATCGTGACCTGGCTGAAGTCGGACGCTTAACCGTCTGCGCCACCCAGGCGCCCCTACTGCTCTCCATTTTATACAGCCTAATCTTTTACTTGAGACATAAAGGTTGCTTTTCACAAGAAGCGAATGCCAACTAAATATGCACATGATTTATATGACCCAGATTTACTGTTCAAAATTTTTTTAATGTTTATTTTTGAGAGAGAGAGAGAGAGAGAGAAACACATGGGTGCATGAGTGGGGAGGGGCAGAGAGAGAGAGAGAGAGAGAGGGAATGAGAAGCAGGCTCCAGGCTCCGAGCTGTCAGCACAGAGCCCGAAGAACCCTGAGATCATGAAATGAAGTCGGATGCTCAACCAACTGACCCACCTAGGCACCTCCCCAGATTTACTGTTCAGAGCAAACTTTCATAAGGTGACATCGCTGGGATAAAATAACAGGAGATAAGAGTGAGTCACTTCCATTGTTTTGCAACCTACTACAATCTATTTCCAAGTATTAGACCTTCTCACAACACCTCTCCTTTAAAGAACTTTTAAAATGCTTCTATAAGAAACAAAAGCTATATGAAGGCAGAAAATTCTGAAGAAAAAGGAACACAAACATGAAGAAGCCGTATGTTACTTTTCTATGAGCTAAAGAAAAGCTGTCATTCGCTTTAATATTAGCTGGATTGATATCTTTTAGCTGGAAATAAAAAAAGAAATAGAAAACAATGCAAATGGGGAAAAAAATGCCAAAGGAGGACTGCCAGAATTAGAGCATAAGTCTTTGGCAAAAAGAAGTAATTGTATTGAATAAGAAAAAAAAAATCAGTTTAAATACATGAAATTTTTTTTTAATGTTTGTTTATTTTTGAGAGAGAGAGAGAGAACGCAAGCAGGGGAGGGGCAGAGAGAGAGAGAAGGAGACACAGAATCTGAAGCAGGCTCCAGGTTCTGAGCTGTCAGCACAGAGCCCGACGTGGGGCTCAAACCCACAAATAGCAAGATCATGACCTGAGCCGAAGTGGGCGCTTAACTGAGCCACCCAGGTGCCCCATAAATACGTGAACTTAATTTATATTTTACCACAGCATACTAAAATAAAACCACACATAGACAACTGAAGTAATCAAAATAAAAGTTGAAGAGAAAAATACCATCCAAGAATTTGATTACTTTTAAGTATGATGAGGAGAAATCACTTAGGTCACCAGTATTTGTTTGTTCTTGTCCTAATAGCACTGTCCTAGCTGTCTTCAATGTCTTCTAGAACAATGAAGGGTATAAATAAATAAATAGAAAGACAGCATCTTCCTGCTAAATGCCACTGCTCAAGAATCAGAGACTAAATTATGAATGAGGAAACCGTGCCTGATAGATTTTGGATATTTTAACTTCATTTTTAGTGGTTTGGGGTTTCTCTAAAATGCACTGCAAGCCCTTGGCTACAGCACAGAAGTACTTGGGGTGCTTGTTAAAATGCAGATTTTAGGCTTCACATCCGGAGATACTGGTTTGCCAGGTCAAGGGTCCTAAGAATCTGCATTTTTAAGCAGCCCCACAGGAGATACATGCATATGGTCCACAGTTTCAGGAAACTACTGCCTAAAATAAGAGACCTCTTATGTACCCTATGGATTAACATGATTTAAGCAAACACAACAAAACAAACAAACAAACAAACAAACAAACACGTGACCCTCTGTAGTACAGAGATCATAGTAAAACCTGTTTCAGAGCAGAAAGGAACCTTTAAATCTATTCTTCTGAACAAATCATCAGCCTTGTAACCTTAGGTAGCCGGGGAGTCTTCTTAATGACAATTATCTGTTCGGTAGGGAGCCAAATGGTTTCCACAGGTGTGCCATCAACCCATGCTTGATAGCAATGTAGCTACAAATGGTTGAAAAATGCATACCAGTGCTTGAAGATAACTGTAGAAGAATCTTTCCAAAATTCTGCTTAAAATTTTGTTGAATTCGCCTTACTCTAAAGCTGAAAGATCTGCAGAGAAACTACATATATTACTCAAACATCTATTACATCTATTACGACTCTATCTCAAAATCCTAAATGGCCCCTCATTGCATTTGCTAGCAAAACCTCTCCGTGGTCATCAGAGAGAAAGCTGTTAGTGGGCTCCTTTACTACCTAACTCCTTCCTTCTGGCCTCTTTTCTATATGACCAACCCCGTTCCCCTTATCCACATGTACATACACCCACTTTGAGAGTAAGACACATTCCTGTCTTTGCCCCTAGCAGTTGCAAACTGATTTTCATTCCCCCTAAAAGGAGCATTTCTGAGGCAACAGTTATGTGCCAGGTGCTGTGGAGAAACGAACCCCAAGCAATTACGAGGCTGAAGGGATCTGAGTTAGTAACAAGGGAACGAACTGCTAATGACAGTTTTTCCCCAGCAAGTCAAAACTAAAACACCGGAGTGCTCCAGAATGCACCGCAAGAAGAGTGCCATCAAATCTGAGTGGAGATCTGCAGCTGAGTTAGATGCAACAGGGGTTGTTTCTGACTGTGGCTGTGGGAGTCATTTCAACAGGCCAACAATATATACCTCGTACGTTCTCACAGTCCAAGCCAGCTTCTCTTAGCTTGTGCTCAAGGGCAAAGAACTGGCTGGTGAGCATCCATTATCGATCTCACAAATCATAGGACTTGTTTGAGGCCTGGGCACAGAGAGGGGGAGTGAGGCAATGCGTAGGTTCCAGCCAACCTCACTGTCCTCCTCGGGGGACAAATGATCACGGGAGAAGAGGTGTCAATAGTAGTGAAAGACTGTCCTCTGGTCTGTTCTCAAATCTTGACCTGGAGAAAGGAGAATATATTCCCTGGGAGGCGTTGGACTCAGGCTTACTGGGGGCTTTCCAAATTCTGGCTACACTTCATGAAATCCTTTTACACACGACCCCCTAGGAAAGATAGGAGAAGGTCTTTCTGTTGCACAGACAGCACTACGGCAGCTAAACCTGCTAACTCCCTTGTACCTGTTATGCCTTGTGGAATTTCACATGAACACAGTTCAGGAATATTTTCTAACACCATTTTTATGTCAGAGCCAGGGAGGAAATCTCTTACCTGTAAGTTCACAAGTAGAATACACTTCCTATTTCCAAAGGAAGACTATTTCTTTGATAAACATTCCAAGAATGAATTACTTTATCAGTGGCACGTTTTTGGAACATGCTCCTGCTTTATCATCGATGTTAAATCTTAATTACTTTCTTCTTAAACTCAACATGTATTCCCCACAGACCTACTTTATACCAAGCATGGTGCCACCTTAGGCATCTGACAAAGAATAAAACACAGTCCTGTCCTCAAGGACTCCTGGTTCCTTCAGACGAGTGGGAGCTGGACCTTCTGGCACAGTGTGGTTAAGTGTTACTCTGGAAGAGTGGGCACCGTGTTTTGGGGGAATCTGGGAAACCCTTCAGAGGGACAACAACTGAGTTGGATTTTAAAGTGTCGATGAGGGGGCGCCTGGGTGGCGCAGTCGGTTAAGCGTCCGACTTCAGCCAGGTCACGATCTCGCGGTCCGTGAGTTCGAGCCCCGCATCAGGCTCTGGGCTGATGGCTCAGAGCCTGGAGCCTGTTTCCGATTCTGTGTCTCCCTCTCTCTCTGCCCCTCCCCCGTTCATGCTCTGTCTCTCTCTGTCCCCAAAAAATAAATAAACGTTGAAAAAATAAAAATAAAAAAAATGAAGTGTCGATGAGATTTTAACATGAATGAAAAGAAGAAGAAAGACTTTCTCAGCAAAAGAAGCATGAAAACAAGTTATGGGATGCAAAAGGCCATCTGTAGGGAACAAAGAGTATTTTGTGGGACTGAGGCACCGGGGGAGGGGGAGCAGGCAGGATGGGGGGCACGTAGATGTAGAAACTGAGGAGACAGGATGCAGCAAGAACAGAAAGGACTTTATCAGCCATGCAAAAGAATGAATTTTATCCTATAGGAAGGACAACATGGTGTCCAGAAGGTTTTTAAAGAAGGGGTTATAAGACCCAACTTGTGTTTTAGGAACGCAAGAGTGGTGGCTGATGGGATGAGAGATAAGAGCCTATAAATCCAATTACAAGGCATTACAGAAACCGTTCATAATATGCATTGGGACGCCTCTATGCTCTTAGATGCCCGTTATCATTCCCCTCTCCGACACACACACATTTTTTAGTTACATCTGAGTTTTGTCCCTTTAATTATGTATCAATACTGATAATTCTTTTTTCCCCACCCAAGATGTATCATCTGTGGTTCATAAACTAATATTCCAGACGATAGTAGTAAACATTTAGGTAAATACAGGCTTAATATAATAATCTCTTACCTGAACAAAGCTGTTCCACTTTTGTGTAGTTTAAAGATACTATGTCATTAACCCATGCGATGATGTCATGTCTGCTCATAGTCTCTTGGGTTATCGAGGTAGAATACACATTGACCGCCATTCCCCAACTAGAAAAAGACAAACAAGGAAAAAATTAACTCCGGAACATAAAAGATACCCATTTCAAGGTCAGGAACCCTGGTCCAGACCCTAACATGTCTGCTTTGGCTGAGTCTTTTCTCTTCTCTCTCTCTCTTCTACATATTTGTTATGATACCATTAAATTTCATGTGTTGTTCATGCAGTATTATCCCATACCTCCTCCCCCGCCCCGCCCCCGGACTCCCATGTTTTTTAGGTCCTGAGACACCGATTTTTCTGATGTAATTTAAAGTCTCATTTTCATCCTTAAGTCTATGTGTGGTATTAAAAAGGTCCCTAACCGTGTGCACTACAGTCCCCTTTATCTTGTACACAACTTCACTGTACTTTCATTACAAGCACTCGCAAACAGTGCCTCCTCCTGCACTCTTCTTTGGGGATGTAAATGGGAGCTCCACTGTATCCAGTTGGTCAGGCTAAAAACACAACACCCACTCTTGCCTCCTCCGTCTCCCTCACCACCATATCCAATCCACCAGCAAATTCTACTGGCTCTACCTTCCAAGTATTTTCACACTTCGGTCAATGCTCACCTGATGTTGGGCGATAGTCTTTTCACTGGCCTCCCAACTTGCACCCTTGCCCCCTCACCACGTGTTCTCAACACAGCAGCCAGAGCTATCCTACTGGCAAAAATCAGATGCTTTCTCTTAATTTAAAACCTTCCAGGGGCTCCTGGGTGGCTCAGTCAATTGAGTGTCCAACACCTGATTTTTGGCTCAGGTCATGATCCCAGGGTCACGGGACTGAGTCCTGCATCAGGCTCCTTGCTGAGCGTGGAGCCTGCTAAAGGTTTTCTCTCTCCCTCTCTCTGTCCTCTCCCCTGTGTGCACTCTAAAAAAAATAAATAAATAAAAAATCCTCCACTGGTTGCTCATCTCAGAGCACAATCTGAAGTTCTTACCAAGCTTTACAAGGCTTTCTACATTCTGCTCCCAGTCACTGTCCCTCACTCCACTCCATCCAGACCAGCCTTGTGACTCTGGCTTTGCACTCTCCTCACTTCCTCCTCAAGGCTTTTGCATTTGCTGTGGCTGCAGCCAGGACCATTCCCCAGTTTTGAGATGCACTCTCCCTCATTTCTTTCAAGCTCCCCTCAATGCCACTTCATTAAGGGGGTGTCATCATTATCTCCTATTCTTTTTCTCTATTCACAGACACAGGACAGAAGCTCCATGGGGACAGGGATTTTTGTCCATTTTATTCTTTGTATAGCCCTGGTGTCTAGTCCAGTTCAGACAGAGTAGGCTTTCGATAAAATTGCTGAATGCAGGCATGTGCTCCCCCACTCCCCCCATCCCATGTAAGATAAGCAGGGCAGTAGGTAAGCTACAAACTTTTTTTTTTTAATCAGCTTTAGAGAAAACCCACTTCAGAAACAGGCTTCATATAGGTTTCATTAGAAAAAAATTCTCACCTAGCATTCTCTCTCTCTCAAAGCTTTGGACAAAGCCTTTACAAAAAGTATAAAAACATTTGAATAATTTGAAGACATGTACTGCCCAACTGCATAGATCTCCCCTTTATGAAACTGGGAAAGAAGACTAATTATTAATATATTTCTCTGACCATTTCATGATACCAATTTCCCCAACTTTTCATCAGAGTGGCATATACAGAAAAGGTTTTGTTCAAAATATTTTGTTATCTATAGTTTTGTGTCATTGGTTTTTACAGCTGTTCACAACAAAATTCAATTGAAGTACAGACTTTTCCCATATACCCCCCCTTTGTCCCCCCACACATACAGCCTCCCCTACTATCAACATCCCACACCAGCTGGTACATTTATTACAATCAATGAACCTACACTGATACATCATTATCACCCAAAGTCCATAGTTACATTAGGGTTCACTCTTGGTGTCCTATATTTTATGGGTTTTCACACATATATGACGCGTATCCACTATTGTAGTGTCGCACGGAGTAGTTTAGGGAAACACAACACCCATCTAAAAATCCTCTGCTCCGCTGATTCATAACTTCCTCCCACCAATCCCTGACAGCCACTGATCTTTTTACTGTTTCCATGGTTTTCCCTTTCCCAGAATATCATACAGTTGGAATCATACAGCATGTAGCCTTTTCAGATTGGCTTCTTTCACTTAGTGATGTGCGTTTAAGGCTCCTTCACGTCTTTTCATGGCCTGACAGCTCATCTCTTTTGAGCTCTGTTACACTGTGTGAAGGCACCACTCACTCACTGAAGGTCATCTTGGTTGCTTTCAAATTTTGGCAATTATGAATAAAGCTGCTACAGACATCCATGTGCAGGCTTTTGTTTGGAAATAAGTTTTCAATTCATTTGGGTAAATACCAAAAAGCCCTACTGATGGAATATATGATAAGAATGTTTACCTTGATAAGAAATTGCTAAAATGTCTTCCAAAGTGGCTGTGCCCATTTTGCATTCCCACCAGCCATCAATGAGAGTTCCTGTTGATCCACATTCTCACCAGCATTTGGTGCTGTCAGTGTTTTAAATTTTTTCTTTTTTTGATGTTTATTATCGAGAGACAGAGACACAGAGTGTGAGCAGGGGAGGGGTAGAGATGGGGGGAGACACAGAATCTGAAGCAGGCTCCAGGCTCTGTGCTGTCAGCACGATGTGGGGCTCGAATCCACGAACCGTGAGATCATGACCTGAGCCCAAGTGGGTCGCCTAACCAACTGAGCCACCCAGGCACCCCTGTCAGTGTTTTAGATTTCGGCATTCTAATAGCGGTACTCTAGTAAAAAAATTTTAATGTTTAAACCTGGTTGAAACCTTGTGATTTTACTAGTTCTGTGCAACATATTAACACTTGACATAATTTTATGCAAAATGTGTGTATAAACTTTCATTTTGAAAAATTTTATATATATGAATCCTATTTGGAAAGTTTTTGAACATATGAAAGTAGAGAGAACAGAATAGCCAGTTGTCTTCACTTCTTGGCTTCAACAATTACTAATACTGGCCAATCCTACTCCATTTAAACTACAGTCAATACTCTCCATCCCAAAGCCTACCCTCCATTCCCCAAGCCAGTCTATTTTGAAGTAAATACCAAGCTTATCATTTTGTGTACAAGTATTTCAGTATGTGTCTCTAAAAGATAAGGACATTTGAAAAAACTTCAAATAGCATTATCACATCTAAAAGTAAAAATAATTTCTTAATATCAAATATGCATTATATCTTATAATTTCTTCTCCTTTCTAACATATATATGTAAACAATACATATATGTAAACATATATATGTAAATATAAACATATATACATATAAACATATAAATATAAATAAAAAAACATATATATACATAGTTGAAGGAAGTGGGTTGTCTTGTACAGTTTCCACAATCTGGACTTTGCTCACTGCATGCCATTCTATAAATGGGTCATTTGATCTAGAGGCCAGATATGATTCAAGTTCTAATTGGGGGTTTGGAGGCAGGACTACTTACTTGCAGTGTTTGAACTTCCATCAGGAGGCACATAATGTCTGACTCCTTTTGGGATATTGTTAGCCATTAATGATATTTGTTTAGAGACTTCAAAGTGATATTCTGTCACTCATTTTTGATTTACTACCTAGCATAATTCTACAAAGAGAAATTTCCCCTCTGAGGTACTGGTCATATTAACATATGATTCGCTTTATTGACCATTTTTTTCAAAACAACGAGGTAGTTCTCTAATAGTCTCCCAAGTTGACTAATGAGGTTTTTAATTCTGAAGTATAATTAGGAACTCCTAGCAAGTAGGTTTCTTTTTTTAAAAGTTTTTTTCAACGTTTATTTATTTTTGGGACAGAGAGAGACAGAGCATGAACGGGGGAGGGGCAGAGAGAGAGGGAGACACAGAATCAGAAACAGGCTCCAGGCTCTGAGCCATCAGCCCAGAGCCCGACGCGGGGCTCGAACTCACGGACCGCGAGATCGTGACCTGGCTGAAGTCGGACGCTTAACCGACTGCGCCACCCAGGCGCCCCCTAGCAAGTAGGTTTCAATCCATGTTTCAACCCACCACAGTTTATGTCTTTGCTGATGTGTAAGCTTGTAAGAACTTATTCAAGCTGGTTTCTGAGTTCTGCTGACAAGGTCCTGGGAGTCTCTGATAACTTCTTTGCCTTCTGGGATGGCAAAATGTTCCAGGCCCAACTTGGACATTTCTCACCTTAGACCTAAAACCAGGAATTTCTCCAAGTGTTCCTTCTTTCTTTAGTCACAAATGGTAGAGATAAATATTTTTAAGCACGGCGATATGTGACAGAAAAATCTCGTTTTACACAAAAATCTTTGAATTTATAAAAGGCTTCTATTTGGAGTGCTTATTAAGTCCACAGCAATAAAGATCTGCTTTCTACTTGCAGTGCGAAAGATTTTATTTTTAAATAAAAATATTCATCCATCCCCAGAAGCACCCTTACCTCTAAAATTCTCTTCCCCTGAAGACCTAAAACAAAAAACAAAACCTCACGATACTGGCATTTCAGATAATGTGACCATTGTTACTACTTTTATACAATATATGAAAGGTTTTTGAGTTTCTGATTAATAACGTGTGTTGTTTTAGTCTATCATTTATTAAACAAAACCATTTACTTTTAATACCTAGTCAACTTTGTATGACTATGTAAATTATGTAAAATCTCAGTAGAGATAATTCAAAATTTAGAACATTTTGAACTGCTTAATTTTCTTTTACAGGTATAACTTTTGGTAGTTGATGTAGATTTCTGATGGCTTCTTCTTTAGGCAGTACTGAAAAGCTTTTGCTTTACCGTGCAATGTATTGTTGCAGGATGAGGCATCGGGGTCCAGAATTGTGCTAGGTGACATCTAGCCAAATTGGGACAATATTTTTGGTCCAGATGATTTAAAAACAACCAACCACAAAGCAGGAGCAATACTGTCAGGTCTGTGTTTTAGACAGATAATCTATATACAAGTGAGTAGAAATGTTCTGTGGTTTCCTA